GGGGCACACAGAGCACTGGTAGTGTACATTACACACATGGTGGTGCCTCCCCAGGGCGAAGCACTCTCCCTGCTGGGCTCTGGAGGGCAGGGAAGCCCAGCCTGGGATGGTTTTGCCAGGATCAGCCGTGCCTGGGGGTGATTGTTAGTGTACATTACACTGTGCCCAGGACTGAGCTCACCTCTGCTGTCTCTACAGAGGGCACGAATGTGGGACCTGTGCTGTTTTTACACAGCCTAATTAACTTAATGATGTAAATATAAAACTGCTTCCTGTTTGTATATATCTGTACAGAGCCCAAACCCGAGGACCTGTTAATAGTAATTTACATAAAAGTGGGGGAAGTCGGCGGCGGGTGTGAAGAATTCCTTTTTTTTTCACTCAGCCGGGATTTTTCACGGCTGTCAGCAAGCCCAGGGTCCCTTCAGCCACCACGGGGTGCAGGATTGACTTTTGCTGAGCCCTGGTGCAGGAATGCCATAATCCAGGCAGGAGGCTGTGCTCAGCCCCTTGCCCCCGTGCAGCTCCTTGCACCCAACAAAGGCTCCATTATTTGCTCCTTTTCAAGAGGGGGGTGGAGGGAGGAATGAAATCAAAGCGCTGCCAGCAGGGATGGTGAACTGCAGGCTGGAAACAGGAGAGGCAGCTGGGGAGCGGAGAGAGAAAAGGGAATGTGGGCTATGGGTGACACTCAACACGGGCAGAGGATATTTATACCCCCCTCTCACATTCCCTGCTCCCACGGCACAAAGGGGGAGAGCCCTGCCCTCCCCAGTGCCTCCAGGAGCTGGAGAAAAGGGGCTGGGAGCAGCCTCTTCCATGGATGGGGTGAATTCCCCACGGGGACAGGGCTGGTTCCTTTTGTGGGGCACATTGGTCACACTGAGGAGTTGAGGGCTGAGCTGAGAGTGGGGGGTCTGGGGGGAAGGATGTGGCTCATCCTTTGTTCCACGTTTGGGTACAAAGGACAGGAATGAGGATGGGGGGGTTAAAAATAGCCAGAGGGATCAGCTGGGAATGCTCCCAGAAAAAAGGCAGAGGGTGGGATGGGTGTGAGGGATGAGGGATGGGAGATGGTTTTGTGCTCAGAGGGTGGGGCTGCGGAGTTTCTAGGGCAGGGGGACAAAGCCAGCTCTCTCTGCAGCCCCTGTGCTGGGGCAGGTGGGTGGCAGGAGCATCCTCTGAAGAGGAGGAAGAGGAGGAGGAAGGCTGCAGCCACCAGAGCTCGGGGTTGTTGGGAATGTTCTGACCCTGCCCTGCTCCTGGCCAGGAGTTATCCCAGCCCTGGCCGTGACCTGGCTGCCTCTGAGGGGTGTGGGCAGGGCTGCTGCTCCAGGGCTTTCAAACATTGCTGAGAGCCTTTGTTTTTACTCAAAGACAGAAATAAGGGACACTTTATTCTTTGCCTCCTTGTTTTCCTTGGTTTTTTGGCTCTGTGGAGTTCACAATGAGGAGTCTGGGTTTTTTTCAGCCAGCCCAAGAGACTAAAACCACCCAGAGGAGCTTGAACTGTGGGCTATTCCTCACTGAGCATGCCTGCCCTGTCTGAGGCTTTGAAGAAAATGAGATGTGTGGGGGGAAAGTGACCATGAGAGCTGATAACACTGGAGCCCTGGGCAAGGCTCCAGCCTGGAAGCTGGGATTGTGCTCCAGTTTGCTCTCAGAGGGCTCCACTGCAAGCAGGGAGAAGAAATGAGTGGAAAAAACCACACAGGGAGCTGTTGCCTGAACCCACAGCTTAATCCACACACAGCTTGGGCATGGAGAAAATGCATCCAGGGGCTGGGAAGCATCTCCCTGGTGCCAGGGCTGCCACAGACTCGGGGTGAGGAAAAGGCAGGGTGCATTTCTAGGGCTGGGCTGGAAATCAGCCCTGAATCCCACCTGAAGGGTCCCACACCCTCCTGGGCCAGCCCTGAATGTGGGGGAGCTGTGCAGGAGGGGAGCAGAGGGCTCTGGTCTGCTCTGGGGACCAGATGAGTGCAAAGGGGACAAAGTTAAACCAAAAATCAGCGCATGAACCTGCAGAACTCCAAGGGGCAGGACTCAGTGGCTCAGCAGGAGGAGTGACTGCAGGGACAATTCCAGAGGTGACAATTTATTTACCCTGCAGGGGAAAAGTGGAAGTGTGAGGAGTCTCTCCCTGCAGAGAGTGAGGAATAAAGGAATAAACCCCCTCCTTACCTGCAGGAAAGGGGTAAAAACCCTCAGGTTTATCTGGCATCCCAGGGGTGAGGATGGATTTCCCTGGGCTGGAAGGATCCTGGAGCAGCAGGAATAACCCAGGGCTGGTTCCAAACACCAAGCACAGGTTCCCACAGGCAGAGATGTCACCCCAGGGTCCCCAGGGAGGCTGGATCAGGGGACAGATCCAGCTGGGAATCAGCTCAGCCTGGGAAGAGGCAGCAGGAATGCTGGAGCAGGGCTGAGTTCAGCAGAGTTAACCCAGCCTGGCTGTGCAGGATGGTGTCACAGCTGTCCCCAGGGGTCACCCTGGCTGTGCCACCAGCCTGAGGTCACTCTCGTCATCTGCAAACACGGGCTGACGTGGCTTTGGTGGGCTTTGGTTAATATTTTGCAAAAACCACTGTTCCCAAGTTTGTTAGCAGCCCCAGGGCTGCTGCACATGGGCAGGAACGATGGGGCAGTGATGTGATTTCCTGCTGAAAAAAAAATTAAAATAAATAAATCCATTTTCCCAGGAACGAAGCTGGGCTCCAGTCCCCTCCTCATCCCACCACGAGGGACACAAAAACCTTTGGCTTTTTCTTCTCCTGTGGCTGCAAAAGCCCAAAAGCTGCTGTGTGAGGGACACAGAGACGTTTTAGACAAAACAGGGCTGAAACATGAAGTAAATATGAAAAATGAAGTAAATATTCCCAGGGAGCTTGGAGAAAAGGGAGATGAGCAGCAGGGATGGAGCAGGTCACAGACACACGCCACTCCTCTGTGCCCCAGCCATTCCAGGAACTTTTTTATTCCTTATATAACTTTTAATCCCTCCAGGAACTGCTGAGGATGACCTGGGCAGGGCAGCCCCGCTCTCCCCTTCCCCATTCTCGGGTTGTTTTTTTGTTCCTCTCTCCGTTCTCTGGGATTTCTCCTTTTTCTCTCCACGGGTGCTGCCCACCTGGATTCCCTAACCTAACCCTAACCCTGCACCTGGCTGCTTCTCCCTACAGCGACTTTTAGGATGCTGAAAAACACAAGTTATATTCTTATTATTTCTTATTTTCTATTTTGGTGATGGAGACGGGGCAAGGGGCACAGCGGGTGTGGGAGAACGAGCCGACAAAAGCAGAAAGCAAAGGGCAGGAGGAACGACTGCAGGGACAATTCCAGAGGTGACAGCTGAGTCTGTTTACCCTGCAGGGGAAAGGTGGGAGTGTGAAGAGTCTCTCCTTGCAGGAGGTGAGGAATAAAGGAATAATCCCCCTCCTTACCTGCAGGGAAAGGGGCA